TAAGTACAGTCGACTTTTAATAATTCGTAACCCAAGGGACCATAAAAATAATTCGAAATATCAAGAGAAAGAAAATAGTTGATATGCATTTTTCCAAGTTATTACATAAGTTAGTACTTTTAAAACATATTAAAAATAATGAATAAGCATAAATAGATAAAATTGAACATTGCTACGCATAAAACATCTCGAAGAGGTTTTTCTTTCCATGTGGCCTGGCGTCCTTTGTTTAAATGATTTTCCTAAATGATCATTGCTGAGAACACGTTGATAAAACCGCAGAATATGACAAACTAGAGAAAATTCGAAGAAACATTAGACTGTAAGGGAAAATTAGAGGAACATAACAAAGAAAAAGTGCAAATTATAAAGATGGGATAGTAGCCCCATTTCGATTAATAGCATGATTTTTCTCCCCCTATTACGAAAAATATTTCGTGTTAACGAGTTTATTAAAATGCACAGAATTTTTTCCCATTTACAGCATAAGCCTACTGAGGAGTTTGTATTATCAAGAAATTCGAATTATCAAATTTCGAATTAACAAGAGTCGACCGATAAAGTACATCCATACTGTATAATTTTATTGGTTAGGATTTCTAGTTGGAAATAAAATTTTCTATCGCAGAAGTCAACAAATACCATGATTGTATAAGTACTAAGTAAAACAATGTAACAAAAATTGAAACAAACTGAATGCTACCAAGTCAATTCTTATTACTTTTCCATTTGAAATAACACTTTTTAAGTTCAAATTAACATTTCTATCTTCAAATGTTTTTTTAATTTCAAATTAGCCCATTGTAATTTTAAACTGACACTTAAAAAAATCGACGAAATGAGATGGTGTGAAATGTAAGCACATAAACTAAAATTCCTCCTGTATTATTAGCAAAAAATTAGATAATAAAATAACTTTAGCTCTTAGAAGGCCGTATAAAAATTAATTGCAATTTAAATTAAAAAATATATCTATTATATAAAAATAAATAATAAATATATCTATTCATATATATATTTTACAGTTTGGTTTAGAAATTTTATAACTATTATATAAAAGAATAATCATTTATTTTAATTTTTAACTTTACATCATTTTTTTATGTAAGAGCTCAAGTATTTTTATGTTTAAAAAATCTCAAATTAAAAGAAGAACGATTTTTTTTATTTATTTTTAAAATTTAATTGCAATTAATTATTATTATAAGATAAAATGAGACCACAATTATCTTACAATTAAATTATGATTTTTCCTTCTCGAAGGTGGGATAATAGGTCATCTCAAAAAAACAACAACCAGTTTTTCTTTCAATCCACAACGTTTCGGATTTTTTTTAATCCTTCCTCAGGTGAGTTAACGCAGTGTTTAAAAAGGAGGAGCTAAATTCCTGAGGAAGGATTAAAATAAATCCGAAACGGTATGGATTGAACGAAAAACTGGTTGTTGTTTTTTTGAGATGACCTATTATTCCACCTTCTAGAAGGTAAAATCATAAGTTAAACTGTTGAGGTCGAAACATCCTTATATTTAAAAAAAAAAAGTCAAATATCCAGGAATTTTACTTTAGTTTTGTTTAATACTTTACTAATACCCCATCATCTACTTTAATGAAAGGGTTCAATAAAAAAGGACTGATTTGAAATTAAACAGATTAATTTTCAGTTAAAAAGTAGATTTTGATGTTAAAAAGCGTTAATTTCGTGCGAAAAATTATTTTCAAATTAAAAAGTGTTATTTTCACGGAAAAAGCTATCTATATACATAACTAATTCACCGATTTTAGTTTACAGCATTTTATATATTATATTTGAGTTCTTTCAAGCAAAAGTTTTTATAACCATAACATATAAATACGTTGTACTTAATCAATGTTTCCTGCATTTGTGTTTTTATTCTTATATTTTAAAAAATGCCAAACATGTAGGAATTTTTCTTTAGTTTTAATAATTTAATGAAAGGGTTCAATTAAAAAGGACTGATTTGAAATTAAACAGATTAATTTTCAGTTAAAAAGTAGATTTTGATGTTAAAAAGCGTTAATTTCGTGCGAAAAAATTATTTTCAAATTAAAAAGTGTTATTTTCACAGAAAAAAGCTATCTATATACATAACTAATTCACCGATTTTAGTTTACAGCATTTTATATTTGAGTTCTTTCAAGCAAAAATTTTTATAACCATAACATATAAATACGTTGTACTTAATGTTTCCTGAATATGTGTTTTTATTCTTATATTTTAAAAAATGCCAAACATCTAGGAATTTTTCTTTAGTTTTAATACTTTAATGAAAGGGTTAAATTAAATAGGACTGATTTGAAATTAAACAGATTAATTTTCAGTTAAAAAGTAGATTTTGATGTTAAAAAGCGTTAATTTCGTGCGAAAAAATTATTTTCAAATTAAAAAGGGTTATTTTCACGGAAAAAATTATCTTTATACATAACTAATTCACCGATTTTAGTTTACAGCATTTTATATTTTATACTTGAGTTTTTTTCAAGCTGAAATTGTTATAACCATAACAGATAAATATGCTGTGCTTAGTCAATGTTTCCTGAATTTGTGTTTTTGCGAGGTTTAATCGAGTTTTAATTTAATACATGAAAACTGCCCCAGTTCGAAATATCCCTGTAGTTTTTTGTTTCTTTCACCCAGGACATAATCCTCTTTGTACTGTCGTTTCTATAGCGTCAGAGGACCTTGGAAAAAAAACAAGCATAAAATCTTTAATACAGGAGACAAGTGTTTGTCGTGGTTTACTTGCTGTAGAAAAAAAAAAGTCCAGTCCGTCTCGTGTAATGGAAGGACTGGACGCTCTATATACTCGGCCAAACCGTGTAATATGTCAGGATGTCGGGCGAACAACCTTTCTGTAAAGTGAAGGCAGGCCCTGTATATACAAAGGTCCAATTGGACGAGTTTTTCCTATTTTCTTTGCTTTCCAATCGAATAATAAACGACTTGTGAAAATTACAAGTATAAAATATATCAGCCTGAATACACACACGTGAATTTGAACGTAGAAGACATAGATTATAGGTTGACTGATGATTAATTGCTCTAATTAAATTAGTTGTTAATGATTTAATTATTAACCGGCTTCTTAAAGTTTTCCGGGTGATGAACTTAAGCTTGGTCGTTTCCGATTATGTCGGTATACCTCACCGAGCTTTTCGGAGGTGTTTAGGCCCTTCTGTTGTGTGTTTGGGACCTAAAAAGCAAGGATATGGCGACCAAAATAAACAATACAATACAAAAAATACAATGTTACTAATAACACTAAGGCCCTGTTATGGATGTACACCATGATAGTAAGACCTTTACTTACATACTGATAAAGCGGAACAAACAACCAAAAGGAAAGAACTCTCAAAAATACAGAGACTTGCATGCATCTGCATAACGGGAGCAATGAGAACATGTCCTACAATTAGCATGGAAAAGATATTGGGACTAATCCCCCTACATCACATGATAGAAAGGACAGCACAAAAAACTATAATTAATATCATTGGAGAGAAAACTCCAAATAAAACTGAAATGGAGAGTCAGAAACAAACTGTGGAAAAACCATCCTTCACTCATGGCTCCAAGAGACGACATGAACAGGAGGTTTGAATTTAACCATAAATTCCGAATACATCTGGGTACCAAAAAGGAATGGGAAAGAGAGGGAAATAACTCCCTAAAAAATGGCACCATCCTTTGGTACACAGATTCAGAACGCAGGAAGGTACGGGGGCAGGAGTGTTCGGACCCGGAACCAAATACTCAGAACCCATGGGAAAGCACACCAGTATCTTCCAAGCTGAAATTCATGCAATTGAAAGATGTATCCAATTCAATCTAAATAGAGGATACAAAAACAAGAATATAGCTATCATGTCAGATAGCCAAGCAGCCATCAAAGCACTAAGCTCAAATACCATTAGTTCAAGGATGGTGCTGAACTGCAAAACCAAATTAAATATATTAGGTTCGCAGAATAAAGTCAGCCTCTGCTGGGTCCCAGGACACATGGGAGTAGAAGGCAACGAGAAAGCGGACACCCTTGCAAGAAAAGGGGCTGCCACACCGCTAATAGGACCCGAACCCTTCTGTGGAATAGGAATACACACTATTAACGAATACCTCAGACAGAAGGACAAAAAGAAAATGAGCGAACTTTGGAATTCACTTATTGGACATAGACAATCCAAGAATTTTCTAACCAACTTTGGCAAGAAAGAAATCACAGAATGTGTCAAAGGAAGCAGGAACAGACTGCGAATCCTAACAGGATTCCTGACAGGACACTGTAGATTAAATGGACATCTAAAGAAAATTGGAATAATCCAAGATGGCACATGTAGATTCTGCAAAGAAGCAGAAGAGACACCAACACACTTACTAACAAACTGCGGAGCTACACTAGCCCGCAGGAGGAAGTGTTTTGGGATGTACAATGTGACCATAGAAGAACTACAACCACTGAAACCGGGCCTATTAATCAAGTTTCTTAATGAAATAGGACTCACCGATGTGCTTTAGGCAGAGCACAGGGGATACAATAGCTCTTAAAGGGCGCAGTATACCATACCCTGAATTATTATATCTATCTATCTATCTATAATACTAAGGCTGAATATCATTCCACCTCGAAGGTGCAAAATTATACTGCATGGATGACAGTTGTTCTAAACATAGTCAGAAGAAAGAATTTCAAACTCAGGTGTGTTTTTTCTTTTTTAACTTTCTCCCCGTTTCAAACCCAAACCTCTGATCCTCAACTATAGCCTGTCAACATTCAGCAGTTACTTGAATACTTTCCTAATGCTCTGGAAGAAGCCAGCAAAGGTGCAGGCAAGTTAACTGTTAAGCAGATTGCACTGTAGACAATCTTTTTTTTTAATTAAAAAATTCAACAGCCTCAATGACATAAACGTAATTTAAGAAAAAACCGCAATTTAATTTAAAATTGATGCGTAACACGCGTGTAAATAATTCCTGAAAATAAAAGCACATGGCATGTATAAACTTGTACCAAGGTTATGGTGGCTGTTTTGTGTTTTTGACCGATTATTCTACTCTTTTTTAATAAAAATATTTCCTTTAAGACAACCAAATTGTATTTGATACGGGTCCATTTATAAACCGGAAATAACCAAACACCAATGGACATTAGCAGCGAAAGTTTCAACTATTATATAAATGTGATTTTGTCAAATAACACAAATGTTTCACACCTAACATTAAGCACTTTTATGAGAGTTCTTTCTCTTCCCTCGGTACACTACACGAAAACATGAAGACACGAAAACACTGCTCCGAATCTGACCGGATGCGCTGATGTAGTCGCGTCGCGATTGTTGAAACTGGAAAAGATGTAAATCCAAACCGGCGTACACCAAGGTGAGAATTCTCACGTATATAAACGCAATTGTTGCATAATAATAATTACAATTCAATTCACGCTAAACTACTCTAAAACTTAAGAAAAATTATAAACTAAAAAATCTACCTTTGGTTATCTATGAGAAAATATATAAGAAACATATGATTTTTTTTTTTTATCTGAACAATTTTGTCACTGGAAATTTCTATTAGCCAGGTTCAAGTATAGAGTTACGTGGTTGCATGACACTCTTTAAGGTCATCATACCACCAAAGTATTTATTTTGCATCATTAGGAAAGCTACATGTTGAAAATCAAGACATATACTAGGAAATCAAGACAAAAATCACATGGCGCTGGATTTATAAACAGACAAAATCAATTTATTCCTAAAAATGTTAATTTATTTACAGAATTAGTTTTCAATATACAATATATAAGATATATTGTATAAATATTAATTTTGTGTAAATATTATATCGCTTTCATTCAAAACATAAAATAAGAAAATAAATTGATTTTATAAGTCCTATGTTTACTTGTTTTATTATTAATTCTGATTTTACATACATATTATGTAAGAAAAAGCTATTAGCAAAACTCTTCAAGTCTTAAAACCCATTGTTAAATAATATTAAAATAACTCATAGCTACCTTCTAAGAATAATTAATTTTGACTGTATTAAATAACGACTTCAGTTTTAAATATCCCACTCGTATTCTATCTCTATTTTTTCTTTCTCGTATCAATTCTCTCTCACTCTCTCTCTCTCTTTCTCTTTCTCCTATTTCTACATATTATTTTTTTCTCTATCTATCTATTATTTTCTTTCGCTCGCTCTTCCATTTCTCTTTCTTTTCTCTAACTATCCAATTTTCTTTCCTTCTTTCTCTTGCTTTTCTTCCTCTCTTCCTTACACTCTCCTCTGCCTCTGTCTGTGTTTCTGTCTCTATCTGTCTGTCTGTCTGTCTCTCTCTCTCACTCGCTCTCTCTCTCTCTCTTTCTCTTTCTCTCCCCTCTCTCTTCATATCTATCTATCTAGCCAGCCAGCTGTTTAGCTATCTTTATTTTTCTTACTTTCTCTTGTTTTCTTTCTCTCACTCTCTTTCCCTTTGTGGCAACATTTTCTCTCTTTCTTTCTTTTTTTCTTTCCTCCTCTCTCTCTCTCTCTCTCTCTCTCTCTCTCTCTCTCTCTCTCTCTCTCTCTCTCTCTCTCTCCTTTAGTTTTATTTCTCTTTTTTCCTCACTCATTCACTGTCTATCTCTTTCTTTCTGTCTCTCTCAGATTGTCGTTTCTTTTTTCTTTCCTTCTCCTCTCTCTCTCACTCTCTCTCTAACTGCCAGCTGTTTATCTAGCTCCATTTTTCGTTTTTTCTTGTTCTCTTGTTTTCTTTCTCTCACTCTCTTTCCCTTTGTGGCAACGTTTTCTCTCGTACATTCTTTTTTCTTTCTCCTCTCTCTCTATCTATCTAACTTTCTAACTTCCTAGTGTTCTATCTCTACCTTTTTTATATATCTACTATCATCTAACTATCTAGCTAATTGTTAGCTATCTCTCTATCTTCTCTCACTCAATCTCTCTCTCTCTCCTCTCTCTCTCTCTCTCTCTCTCTCTCTCTCTCTCTCTCTCTCTCTCTCCTACCTACCTACCTACCTACCTATCTACAACCTACCATTCTAGCGAGTGTGCTATGACTACCAACCTATTTCTATTATCCATCTATCTAGCTAATTTTTAGCTATTTCTTCTCATTCTTTCTTTCTTTCGTTATTTATTTATTTCTTTTTCTTTCTTTCTCTTTCTCTCTTTCTTTCTCCCTATCTTCTTTTCTTTGACGTGCAGATTCAATTTCAACTGTATTCATTCTATTGCATTTTATTTCTATTTTTCAGATGAAATACTATGAAGCCACAATTTCCTTGGAAGACAGGTGAGGATACCGAGCCAGGATTAGATAAATGTTACAACGTATAAAAGAATATATTATTAACAACTACTGATTTATTTCAGAAACGACACACCCAACGACTGGCGGAAGGACAACCAATCTTGGGACGAAAAGATTCAATTTTTATATGAAACAAAATATGGGTGCGATGTCAATATCAAAATTAAGAATAAAGAAGGGGAAGAGGTGTGTGTTGTTGTTTATAGTATTATTTTCATGGATCTCTAATTAAAAAGTACTATTTTACTCGAATTTTTTCACAGATTTTTCAGGCGCACAGATTTGTATTGAGTATGTCAAGTAACGTCTTGGAAAAAATAATCAATTCCGAAGTCTTTAAAATCCCAGGGGACGCCACAATAGTATTCACAAATATCAGTCCGGAAGTCATTGATATCTTTCTTAAGTATGCCTACCTAAAATTGAAAGTTTATCGAATCATGCTTAAATGCGTTCTTTCAGCTTTGTCTACACTAAGAACGGCAAACCTCAAACGAGCCTTCACGCTATCGAACTGTACAGGATTGCGGCTAAATTGAACGTACCCGATTTGAAAGATATCGCTCGAAAATATATCGAAAACAATCTTGATATTTCTTCAATTTTAGAGGTATACATTTTAGCAGAAAGTAACGACTTGGCCGAATTGAAAAACCGTTGCGCTTCGGTAAGTCGTAAACCAAATCGGTCTTTATTATTATGCTTCATTTAGCGTTAATTAATGGTAAGAAAAAGTCACTTCCTCTTTTAGAAATAAGATTTTATCGTTTTTAGATAATTCAAAAGCAAACAAAAGAAATAATTAATGAACATAACGTACTGATGCTGGACGTATATTCTCTCAATGCTATTTTAGAACAGCCAGCACTCAATATTACAGAAATCGAATTGTTCAGGCTCGTACACAAATGGATGGTATGCCGTAAACAAAATGCAATCAGAGCAGGCTGTGAAGATCATGGTAAACCGGACAGTTTGAAACCTAATCGGGCTTTAAGATCAAAATTATGTTTGTTTTTAGAAGCGAGAAAGAAGCTCAATAATAGCTTATTGGCAAGATTTTGTTTTCTGAGTATGACTGCCGAAGAGTTCTGCGAAGGGCCGATGAAAACGCACCTTTTGCGCAAGGCGGACGAGCTCGCGATCCTGGGTCACATCTCTTCGAAGACTTGCACGATCGGCTTCCCGGCCGGCTTCAACCGTCGACAACGGACATACCTGGGTAAGTCAGACTCGCCGAAACGCGATGAAGGAAAGGCGCGAAAGGAATCGCCGAGGAAGAAGTCCGAGATAAGTCCGATAAAATTGGGACTGAAAACTCCAAGCACGTACCGAATATACAAAGACGGAGACACCCCGCCTCCCACTATAGGCCTTCAACGAATACCGTCCGTCATGCCGCCTAAGTTCAGAGAACTTTTGCCAAACGGCTCACCTATGAGAAGAAGTAAATAAATAACCATTTTTATTTAGTTGTTTGAATGATACATTTCTCCTCCTAAATAAAGCAAGTCATAGGTCATACGCTCAGTTAATCATCCAATTTTCCGTGTGAAGAATATGCAGAAAGCCAGGTACGAATAGTCTTCTACTGTAAATACCTTACAAATGAAAGAAATCTGAATCCAACAAATATAACTGACAACCATCATCAAAGGCTGGAAGCGAATAAAAAGCCTAAAAGCTAGAGAGCTATATATCATACAAGGAAGAGCACACGTTATGTCTGAACGATAAACTCAATTAACTCACTGTTTCATTTACCTCTATGACAGACGGTCAACTGACAGTTCTTTCAGTTAATCGTTCAGGCCCGTCGGTTAATGAAAGAGCTGCATCTATATTTACTGCCTCCCTTCCTTTATTTAAACAGCCAAGTCTAAAATGGGACTATTGTGCTCCTCCACGAATGGATTATAGCTCGAGCTTTAAGCTTTTGTTAGCTTCCAAAGCTTTGATAGTAGAACTTCAGGTTTTACTGTAGTTAGATTTTCTTCCCACAAGTAGAAACATTTTCCTTCTCAGACAACCACATTAGCATTTGATAAGGTAAGGCACACTAATGAACCGAGATGGCTAAGTGGTTAGGTCCTCGGTTATTTCCCAGGGATGGGTTCTTGTCTCGACTTCCGATATAGCGCATAGTTTTTAATTAAGAATAATATGATAAAAGTATTTTAAAATGTTTTAACCCTTCGTACCTCACGAGTGGGACGATCTGCCTGAATTGAATCTACAATATCTTGTTAGTAGACATGCAATATGCCCTAAGATGTTCCACCTGGTATGATTTTTTCCATGAACTATTCAACAAGTGTTCAGTTTTTATGACAGTTCGTAATTTTACAGAAGGGTTCTGGTCCTACTAGTACTTGAAACGTACAGACTTCTGTGAAGTGCGACGTTTGAAGCAGATTTACTTCACCAGATGACTACTCGGTATTGTTCTTTGTTGCGCTGTTTTCATTTCATCAGAAAACAGCTATTCCTCTACTTCAGTGGTGGTTTCTCTACATAAACACGCCTGACAGACCAAAACAGCGTACCAGGATACAGCAAAAGCCAAATGGCCGTAGTTCATTCGTTTCCAACCATACTACTCTGCCTATCCCCCTACTATTTTTATCTGGCGGGGACGTTTAGACATAACAGGCACATAGACTTCCTTAATGCTCGACTTTTCAAGCAGGTGATTCCTCTGTCTTATTAAACGCGCTTGGCAGAACGAAGCAGCAAGGTTATGCCGTCTAGGATCCAACAAAAGCTAAATGTAAGAAGTTCATTTCCAATCATCTTGGTACGCAGTACGCACATCTGCGATGGTTTTGTCTGACGAACACGGTTTAGGCATTTCGACATCTTCAGTAGTGACTCGTGTGACAAAACGCGCTTTCCTGGCTGAACAGTGAGTAAAGGTGAACGACTAGAATTCGACCTGAGTCATATACATGTCTGACGAACGATTTCGGCATTCCCCTTTTTTCAGTGATAATTTGTTTACCTGAGCGCGCCAAAACAAAACAAAATAGCAAGCTTATGCGGATGAAGATACAACAAAATACACATAACTGTAGTTTATTTGTTTCCAGTTATTTTTGCGAGCTTATCCTCCTTGCTTTTGGCAGAAGGACACGGTTTAAGTATTTGACAATAATGGTTCGGGTGCCAAGACATACAGCCATCCCTGATGAGCCACTATTTAAACAGGTTTACATCATCAAACATACTCCTTGTCTTCCTCCAAAGTTAACATTTTTATATAATTAACTTAAATCATCTTTTTCGTCAGCATACCAACGGAGAACTGACAAGTGGAGGAAAAATGAATAACTGAATTTTAGCTACCTACATACACTTCATTCTTCCATCAACATTCAGACATGTCGACAGATGAACTGAAGGTCTACGGCGCACCTATGCATGTTCTGGAACGAAAAATCCCGTTAATGATCAAGTGACTTCCAAAATCATCCATGAATCCATTAGAACTTCCCATTTTCTTATATTTTGAAAATTCTCCTCCTACCTATAATTCCTAAACCGAAGATAAAACCTATTCATAAATCTATTTTTGGCTCAATTTACTAAAATCATGGTCTTAGGAAGAAGACCCGTCTACCACCTAAGGTTAAGGTGAAACATCGTGCATTTGTCGACCGAAGATTGAGCTTGACAGTAGTATTTTATTTAAGTTAGATTTTCTTATATGTACTTTGGAAATATTAAATTGTTTTTGCACGGTGAAATTGGTTGTAACAACCTCGTTTTTAATTAGTTTCCCACGCTTACCACGTCTCACAGCCCACCGTGCAAGTTCGAGCATAAGCTCTGAACAGTGAACTCGGATTCCGGGACATCTTCATAAACGATTTTAATTAAAGGAAATACCCACAAATTTGTCCAGGAATTGCGCACAAAGAGTTAGAGGGTCACCGGTGGGTTTGTCTCTCATTTATTACCATGGGACTTACGGGGGAACATAACGTCGACCGGTATTTTGTTTCCGACCACATGGACAATCCTAGGACTTGATTTATGGCAAATAAACGCACAGCAATAGTCCATTACACTACGGTTTCTGTACTGTAGTCGAAAATAATTGCATGTGTACAAAACTGAATAATCTTTCGGAATGAAAACGTTAACGCTTATCTTTTTCGTACTTAACTTCATACGGAAACCGTTCGGAGGGGCGGTCCTGAAAGTAAGCAGCAGACCGCGTCGGCTTGTAATACCCAATTATTTATAAACTAAATAACAGCAATTCACCCTCCTCCTCCTGGAGAAACGCAATTACCGCGTTTTCTGTCTGTGAACGAGACTTAAATGAATTCAATAACACGGCGTCGTGGTTAGGCTAATTGCAGCAATGACGCTCGACATCCTTGCAAAACCTTCACTAACTTTGACGTAACTTTAAACTATGTTTTATGTTTAACATTAGAGATTGTTTTAATAAGTTACACAAGTATGTTGACTATAGAACTTAAAGACAAATTTAGGAAGCACTTAAAGATTCTTATAAACAAGTTTTACCTTATATCATCCAAGTTTTATCAATTTAGCTGTTTAAGATTTAATACCCTAGGTTTAAGCTCTCACCTGAAACAAAAAAAATTATCTTATGAATTTTTAAATTGTTAAAACATAATAACAATTAATACATATTAACCATATTATAACTTTGGCTGGTTATCAATCAAACAAGTGGGAACGTCAGATGGTCGGAGCTGGTGAGATGGATCAACTAACCCAAGTGAAAAGTTCTTTATGTTGAAATGTTACCAAATAGTTTTGAATTATGACATATCTGAGGTAATGATCTTCTGGGTGGGGAACCAAATGACGACTCAAAACGGCGAGGATAAGCGGACCAGTACGTTTCCAAACAAGTAAACTACAAGTATTTGAGGCAAATTGATGAACCCGGCTCTGCCTATTCTCCTGGTTTTCGTCTGAACGGCGCAATTCCGCAATTCGCCATTTCAGTTTCTGAACCAAAACGCGTTTGACTTATCAAAACAAGGAAGCTATGCTAACCAGGATACAGAAAAATCCAAATGTCTGTAGTTTGATCACTTCCAGTCATATTAGTTGGCCTATCCTAGTTGCATTTGACCAACCAACACGTTTCGGCATTTCAACATCTTCAGTTATACTGTTATCTGTACACACGCACCTGATAGATCAAAACAGCGAGATTTTGCGTACCGGAAAAAAATAATAAAAGCCAAATATCTGTAGTCTAGTTGTTTCCAATCTTTTTGGTCCTCCTATCCTTTCTATTTTGGCTTGACGGACACGGTTGTTGGTTATTCGACATTTCAACATTTTCAGTGATATTTTCTGTGCCGAAACGACCTGAGAGACCAAAACTGGACCAGTATAGCAAAAGCCATATGTCGTTTCCAGTCATACTCAGTCTAACTATCCTCATTGTTTTGCCAGACGGGCGCATCTGGCTTATGAACTGAAATCTTCAGCAACAGTTTCTTTGCCAGGACGCGTCTCACAGTTTTAAAAACAGAGGACATTCAATTTTAAGTTCAAGCCCGTGGGCTAATAAGCGCACACAGAGCAAAACAGTGAGAACAGGCTGACTAGGAATCAACAAAAGTCAAATGTACGGTAGACCCCGGACCGTCGTTTGTGACCAGATGATCGGAGACGACAAACAGTTTTAATTTGATAATTGTTTAATATCCTAAAAGAAATTTAAAATTGTGAGTACAAACCTTAATTAATGGATTCGTGTAATATTATGCTGTCAAGAATCGGGTAATATCGTCGTATGTGAAAAAAGATGCTGCGATGAATGTTTAAAAAGCCGCCAAGATAAAAATATACAGGCATCACACCTTCTTGATTGAACATCGATCCAATTCCAATATCGAAAAAATAACCGATAAGTGCACTTAGGACGTTTGTAGGCGTTATCTTGCTTCCGGTTCAAGGAGCAGAAAACACGATTCTCGACGGAACCCCTCTTTCGCCCTGGGATACGTGCAAAGTGGAAACAGCTGTTGCGGCTTGCTCATAAATAATTTATGAGATTGCGTGGGTTTGGGCCCGAATGCCAGTCCGCTATGGAAACTCTGGGCGAGGAGGGTGTGAATAGGCCGTAATTATATGCACAACTCTCTCGGGCGGCCACTAAGTCAGTTGTAACACCACCCGCGGCTCAGATCCTATCTCGCTTTGATGTGTATCTGGACTCCCATATTTTTATCAGTCGTGTCATTCTATTTTTAGAGCCGTCTCTGTTTGAAGAATGCATCCACGGCCGCCTTTTTCTTTATTTATCGTCTTGAGCCGATGACACAAAACAATAAAAACGACCTCGGGGCGCGTTCCGGCCCGGAAGATAACATCGAGGAGAAAACACGATAATTCATGTAATAAAAGTTAATACAGCCCAGAACCGTCTTCCACGTTGTATACACGTATTGAGATTATCCTCCTGTTAAA